AAATGGTGCTGAAATACTGTATGGTTGGGTTCACAAAACCTGTCATTTCCATTCATTCAATGAAGAACAACTAGCTACCACACCATAAATTCCTCCAGGTTATCAATGACCTGTTTCCTCATGCTATTTTAAATTATGATATACCACTATTTTCTTCATTATATCCTTTCCATCCTTAAGGGGCTTTTTCTTTCAAATTGCTAGTTTTCTGTCTTACATACAGGCAGCTGTGCATATAGAAGTGAAATATTTTTCACATGTTACTCATGTTGTCTGTCCCTAGGAAAAAAATGCAGTTATGATTTGTCCATAGCAGCTCAACATAAGTTAAATTTTCAGATACAAGATATTCTTGTAGTTACCAAATATCTTGATGCTCAAAGGCTACTAATTATTCTAAGGAGTTACACATCATATGTTACACATAAGTGTACAGCTTATACATAACTTGTAGAAAGTAAAATATTTCCCAGAGTATCTTAATTTCAAGCACAATTTAGGACTGGCTGTAGATGATAAAGTTCTCAAACATTTTTTTATTAGATGACTGGTTAAAGGTTAAAACTCATATACTCTTAAATGAGGTTAATCTCAATATTTCCGGATATCTGTGGATTGAAGTAATTGTTTTAAAGGTATGGGCTTATCAAATTCTGCAAGTTAATAGTTGAACAGAGCTGTTGCTATAAAATTGTTTAATTTTCAAAGGCAAATATTGAACATTGTTTGGAGTACGAAAAGCCAAACTTTAGATTATAAAGAACATTGCCAAGATTGAGAAATTTCACTTGATATTGTGAACATATTGAAACTACATATCTATGGAGATTCTCAGTCATCCAGGTCATGGTTTTTCAAAAAGCAACTGGACTTTCTGGTTTTTCTTTGAAGAAGGTTCCCTTCTCAGTCAAGAAGCTTCTTTGAAAAGCACCTTTGGGACAATATTGAAACTACGGTGAAGGATATCTTTTACCAATAAAACAAATGAATGTATTACATGCCTCCCACATTCCATCTGTCTCACTAACAAGAGTTTTAGAAAAGGGAAGTTTGAATATAGCCATCCCAGAATCAAGGAGGATCTTTCTCTCCTTCTCAATTACCCTGAGGGCTTACTCAGACAGGCATCAGATTATTCCCACATGTTGTAAACAAGGTATTGACTCTCTTAATTGTGCCAGACTCAGCATTTAACCACCCTGTCTCCTCTGAAGACCAAAGACATCAATAAAGTAAGATCAGCCAAGAATGTTAACACTTACTGCAACCTCTGTAATCTCTGCCTAAAACTTTTTAGGAAATTTTGAGATCATCCTCAGAGAAACTTTATATTGATTTATGCTTTTTGGAACAATTCAGAGCACATATTTTGCTATAAAAAGAGGGAAAAAACCAACCCACTCCAAAGATATTTGTTTACACCTTTTTTGGTGTCCTAGCCAAAGAAATTTGGTTTAAGGATGCTGCAATAAATCATTGAATGTGGCACAATGTGTTAATATTAGTTAAAACTGATAGATTAAAATTAGAATAGAATATAATAGAATAGAATTCTTTGTTGGCCAAGTGTGATTGGACACACAAGGAATTTGTCTTGGTGCAAATGCTCTCAGTGTACATAAGAAAAAATAAAGTACATTCATCTAGTATCATAAGATACAACATTTAGTAATAGTCATAGGTTACTATAAGCAATCAAATCATACATAGGTTTCTAATAGACTATGGATACTCCTCAACCTATGACCACAACTGAGCCACAGATTTCTGTTGCTAAGTGAGATATTCGTTAAGTGACTTTTATCCCATTTTACAACCTTTCTTGTCACAGTTGTTAAGTGACTCACTGCAATTGTTAATGAATCTTGGTTCATCATTGACTGTGTTTGTCAGAAAGCTGCAAAAGGGATCACATGACCTCTGAACACTTCAATTGTCAACTGATATGAGTCAGTGGCTAGGCATCTGAATTTTGATCACGTGACAATGGAGATACTGAAATGGTGCAAAGTGTGGAAAATGGTCATAACTCACTTTTTTTAGTGCCATTCCAATACCGACTTCAAACAGTCACTAAATGAACTGTTGTAAGTCGAGGACTATCTGTACCAGAAAGTTAATTTATTTTATATCTTGTTAACAAGGATTTTTTGTCTTTTACTTAGAATTGCACATTTGCAGGTCATAAAACGGGGATTCCAAAAGGTGTTTAAGTTGATGTCTGTGTGGAGTTATTTTTTTTCTTCCTAGTGGGAAAATTAAAACCGATTACTTGATTACATTGCAATTCAACCCATAAAATGTCATAAAATTGGCTCCCAAAATGTTCAACCAAGTGCAGTGCCAGGATTTTTTTAAAAAATCTCTATGTACTATTTGCCATCAACTTCAGTGCAACATAACCCAGTCTTCCTCTGCACAATGCTTTCCAGATGTGGTCCAGTTTCTGCTTCCAGACCTGTCATAATCTTCTACTATGGTTTCAGAATTTTGTATGATTTCAGTGTTTATAATTTTGGGTTTTATCATCTTACTTTATATTATCCAATTTGGGAACTTTCAACAGCAAGTAGACTACATATGTGTATTTGCACACGCATAGATATGGAAGAAAATGTTTCAGTGTGTTATATTAGCTATAGCTGACTGAGAGTCATTACATGTAATTGCTATTCTTACTCCTTTTCAGTTTCTTTTTTAAGTCAATCTAAAATTACAGCAATTAACAGTTGCTTCTGTATCTTTCTTGTGTTTTATGAACCACCTAAATACTTTAGTAAAAAGAGGAAGGGGGCTGGTGAGCAGAATAAGGAAAAAGTTGAAGAGTTCTTGCATTTTCCCTCAATTGTACAGTTTACCTCAAGAAAATGCCTGGCTTGGAAGAACAAGTTGCTATGTTCTTCAGATATTTCTCACTGATAATACCAGATAATTAACAATGATCTAACTAACTTTAAAAATTAGAGTGCTCCAAATGCTTTAGAGCAGGGGTGTCAAACTCACGTGCTGGCCCCACCCCTGCCTGGTTTAGCAAAGTGGGGGAAAGTCCCAATAAGTCACGTGAGGCCATCATGATGACATGAATTTGACATCACTCCCTTAGAGAAACATTTTAGATCCTGGGACAGAACTGAACCACAAGATTTATTTCTGCTCAACTTAGATCTCTTCTGCAAATCTGGCTACTGTAGTTGAAAAAGAACGCAGAGCATATTGAACAGCTGAAGCCCCTGTTCCTAAGGTACCTATTTAATTTCCTGACAAAATATTTGATTTGCTTCCAGAAGTTGTGGGTGCTCCAACACTGGAGTTTTTAAAAGAAGGGATTGGACAACCATTTGTCTGGAATGGCATAGGTCTCCTGCTTGAGCTAGCTCTATTCCCAGGATAAAAAAGAGCTCTATTGCTTTGCAATATTATTCCAACATCTTCTGAATGCTCATCGTCTGAAAGTAATGAAAAGTACTTTGACATATTACAATTTGTTCTTTCTCATCTCCTTTTATTCTTCTTCTGCACCGTGGATGAATATGTAATGTTTCTTCCCTCGGATAACCATCCATGAAGTGGACTGCACCCAACAAACTTTATACTGAAAGAACTATATCTGTAAAAATATTGGGAAGAACCATTTAAAATTGAAGGGGAGGGTGACTGATTTTTAGGACATCATCCCAAGCATAAACCCCAAGACAACCAATCAAACTATCAGGTACGGTGTGGTGGGAAGGAAAAGGAACTCAAAAACAGATGTAGGAAACAAATGCAGGGTCAGCCACAAAGGATTCAAATGTCTATACACTGATGCTCAAAGTATGAGGAACAAACAGGGAGAACTTGGTCCTAGTACACAAGGGCATGTATGATATAGTTGCCTAAATTTGATGGGATTAAACTCATGACTGAAATGTACTGTTGGGAGGATATAAACTATTCAAAAGAAACTGATCTTACAAAAGAGGATGTGAAGTTGCATTATATGTAGGAAATCACTACACCTCTACCGAAATGCATAAAACAAAGTTTTGAATGCATGTGAGTTAAAGTAAAAGGAAAAAAAGAACGACATTGCCATAGGTGTAGACTACAGGCCACTCAACCAAGTAGAAGTAGATGAATTTTTTGTAGTCAGCTAAGGTGTGCAGGAAACACACCACAATAATAATAGAGAATTTAACTATCCGGGCACTAACTGGGAGACAAACTCTTTAGCAAGTGGGAGTGTGTTTCCCACACATCTTAGCTGAGTTGCAAAGAGTTTGACTTACAACAGTTCATTTAGTGACTGTTCGAACTTACAACACTGAAAAAAGTGATTTAAGGACAATTTTTCACACTCATCACCATTGCAGCATCCCCATAGTCATGTGATTTACATTCAGATGCCTGACAATTAACTTAAAGAAGGTCACAGCATTGTGAGTTCCCCTTTTGCAACCTTTCGACAAGCGAAGTCAATGGGGAAGCCAGATTCACTTAATAACTGTGTTACTAATTTAAAAAGAGCAGTGGTTCACTTAACAAACGTGGCAAGAAAAGTTATAAAATGGGGCAAAACTCACTTAATACATTTCTTACTTTGCAACATAAAATTTGGGCTCAATTGTGGTTGTAAGTCGATGACTACCTGTATTTCCTGTGCGTGACTGGGTGGCCTGTACTATATACCTACTGAGAGCTAATCATACCAAACCATATCCTGCCAAGTAATCTGTCAGAAATATAATCCTTTCTTGTTAAATTCCCTTGCAGCCTCACATGACTGTGCAGGAAGTTGTAGGAAGTTCATGGTGTGCTTGGCTGACTTTGTGCAATGGCTTAAAACTACTTGGGAGTTATCTCGTAGAGTTTGGTTCATTCAAAGGATACTGAAAGAATTCAGAGATAATCAAGGCAAGAGGCTCAAGTGAACTGGCTCCTGAGGCTTTTGTAATCAATAAGGCAGGATAAACTTGCAATTGGACTTATTCAATTGATAAGACTTTATTTAAAACGTTAATATAAAATTTAGGAAAGAATTTGATGTGATGTGAACAGTAAGAGAGAAAAGCCACTGAATGGAAGTGCAGAGTTTTTACACTTTAATATTGACTCAAAGACAGCCTAGTAAGCTCCCATATATCCACGTTTTCATGTAGTTTCCTTCAGACTCTGTCAGTAGCATGCTGGCAGTCAAGCAGCTTAAAAATAATAAGGATGGCAATGTTTTGTGGAGACTTAGTTTGGAGTGAACATTTTTCTTCTTTTAGAATATTTTGCATCATAAAATTCTATTAAGCAATCTAGGAGCAAGGAAAAAGTTTAAAAATTAGATTTATTTATTACATACTTTTGGTTAGAAGCTTTTATACAATTCTCTGGTTATTTCTGATAATTTATCACAAATACTTTCCTCGAAAACCGTACTTTTTGGTCTGAAATCCCCTCTTTCATACAGTAGGGACTGAATTTTTTAATCTTCATTTGTAAATACCATTTTAATTTACTACAGTGTATAATTTGGCCACAGTTATTTTCAGGGCTGTACAAAGCATTAAAAGAGGTGCTATGCAAAGCAATATGGCACCTGTGAATCATCTGTTTGAAATAGTCAAACAGTCACAACACGTGGAAGAAATAGTCAGGTGTCTCTGTGTAGGCACAGACACTTTTTTAAAGCAATTCTAATGGAAGCGTTCTTGTCTTTTGAAGCACCTGCATGAGTCTCACAAATGATGTGGCTGCTTTAAACTTCAGCTTTGTTTATATTAATGTACTTTGTGAAGGGCTAATTCTGATTACTTTTCATAGATATTTTCATGAAGTAAGCAAATATTGATAATTACAATGACTGAATGGGTTCAAATGAAAATAACTGGGGTTTTAGCTAAGTTATAAATTCTCGGCACATTTATGTAATAAAACCAGTTTTACGAGATAAATTCCCACTAGGTGAATATACACAACATTCAAAGCCAAAATCAATCGAATTATCTTACTCTAGTGAACCAAAGTGAAATGAATATCCTTTATTCTCAGGCAAAGACAACTCGTCTACTTTTCATTAGTATAGCCACATCTATTACAAAATATTCTTTTATAGATGTGGCTATTCTGATTCAAATTAGACCAAGTACTTTGGACTGAGAATAAAGGATATTCAATTCCATATTGATTCAGTTGCAGCCACAAGTATGACAAAATCAGTTTGAGTGATATTTCTCACTCTCACGCCACTAATTTTCTTAATGCGAGTAATAAATTTTAAAAAAATCAAACACCCCAGATACAGTACCAGGCCTTACTCACTTGTTCTTGACTTCAAAATATTCATGAAATCACCTTCTCATAAACATTTGTTCTTCTGGAATGTCTTTTAGTTTAATTCATTCAATATGGATGTGAATTCTTGGGGATGCCTTACAAAGAAAGTCTAAAATCCAGAGGAACATTATAAGTATTTTAGTTATGATTAATTTCAGTTATTTGTAAAATTAAAGGCAAAGTTATTTAACAATCTTTAAACACTGATCCAAGTATCAAGTCTCAATTTTTTTTAGACTCTGATTTGAAACTGATTTTGTAAACCACACGAATCACATGGGGCCAATCAAAAACAGGCACCCTCTGCACAGCTGGAGCAGCCTGGTGAGTGGAGACAGAACAGCGGAGCCCTTCTATGAAGCATCTTGTCAAGCAAGTGAGTAAATGTATTGATTAGCAACAGTTGGCCGAAGCCTGATTTAAGAGGCAGCCTTGAGTTATAGCCTTTTACTGGAAACAACTATTTGGCTCTTGTATGACAATTCATATGAATTATGCCTGTGCTCCTCTGAACTGACTCTTGGAATCTTGGACTGATTTTGGGCTGGTCTGTGCACTCCCAATAAGAGTAAACTGTTCAGGCATGTGTCTGTCAGAGACTCTGTTTTGGTTTGCATGCTTTGGCTGTTGTCTCTTTGACCTTCATTAAACTGAATTAGATGGGGCATGATGGCTCATTTGACAGCTCTTGGTAGTTTTCATTTTCAGCATATGGCTGGCTCCATGCAATTATTTTGGGCAGTTCTGGATTGTAAAATGCTCCTTCTACATAAATCATAAAATATATCTGTGGAATTGAACATATATAGTACAGTTTCATTAACTTAAACAATTCAGCCTTAAGACTGAACCTCAATGAGGTTGTTCTGGTCAAAAAGTCTCATTTTTCTTCCAGCCCTGCAGCATAACACAATTACTTTGTGCTTCTATCAGTTTTCACAAATGTAATTTGTGAAAGAATATGGAGCTCAGCCAGAATTGATGTACTAAAAGCAAAACTCCGTTTATTATATTGGCCCAATCATCCATCTCCTATAACATTTGCTGAACTAGTTGTGTTTAGTTTAATTTAAACTAAATGTAGACCTTCTCTCTAAATAAATTTTGCTTAATTTAGGTGAAGTGAAATTAGTCTAATTTTTCAATACAAACACAGGTGTGTATCTGAATACCAGGACTCTTCCTGGAAAAGTACAAATGTTTATCCTCCAAGCAACCAAACCAAAAGAACTGCTTAGAATACTTGCCTGACTTCATGGAAGAAAAGTATAAACCAGCATCTGATTTTGAAAAGGGAATTGACTCCTGAAGTTCACATTTGTGGAAGCTGATATCACAAGTATAAGCACACACACATACGGGGGTGGGGGAGTGGGAGGGAGAGAACATAAACACTGTATAAAGAGGAAATAAAGAAGCTTACTAGAGTTTTTGCTTTCATCTTGTTCATTTTCTTTTTGTTAAATCTGGCACTTCATTTCACATACACTCCATTGTGCTACTATATAAACAAATTGATTTATATTTCAAATTCTTAATGATTAATAAAACAGAATAAAAAAAATTAAAGTAACAGCATTTTATCTGCTGTGGAGCGAGCAGCTTTCTATGCTCTTAAATTTGGTTTTGCAACAATAGAAATATGAAGATTTTTTTTTGTTTTTATTTTACAATATTTTTCTATTAAAAAAAACAGGAAAAAAGTGTAGTTTTTAACCCAAAGACAGTTGACTCCATATGGATACGTCAAGAAAAATGTATCTAAGTCTAGAGTTTTTCTTTGGAATACGAAGTACAGGTACGTGAAGTACACAAAGTTCAGCAAATTATTAAAATTGAATTCTTACTGAGTGTACCATATTTAGCTACATACAATATTCTTTTAACAATGTTCTCTCACTAACAATGGAAATGCCAATGAATGTATTCTCCTTATTCCTGCAGGCCACCATATTTCAAATCATGTTCTATGTTGTCCCATGGCAAAATATAGGAGGGTGAGATCAAGAAAGTTAAAGTCCTCTTGTATAAGTCCATTTAATAATAGGTGCAGTCCAAGTAAATAAAAAGTCTGCTGCCTTATATACACTTATTATATACACTAAAACATTTTCGAATGCTCTCATAAATAAATATTTTGGAACAGTTTTTCCAAGAAGAATAAAGAGAAAAGCTGATCAATTTTAGGAACACCAATTGTTTTCATTTAAAATATTGTATACAATATGGATTTCATGAATGGTGCTTTACATAAGAGATAATGCAAAGATTGGTATATTATAATACCAAGCGTTAACAGAAATATTTTTATCACCAGGAGTAGCTGGGGTCAAAAAGACTTTATTTCTTATTTTGGATTGTTTTGTTTTCTTATGAAAGTCCCTCAAATGTTTTGTCCAGTATCATTCTATCATTATGTTGTTAGGAGGCAAACATCTCACTTACTAGCTTATTAGCATTGTAGAAAGCTTTTAGCACGAAGCTTTAACCAACTTTGAACAGAAACAATCCTTGGAAGCAGCTTTCTGAAGCAATGTCTCCAGAATCTTCTCTGCTCGTTCTGATCCCCCCCCCAAAAAAAAGGAGAAAAAAAAAGCAAAACTAGAACATTATTTTGTGTCAACTAAACCTTTTTGAACGGTAGTTTGACTAAATTGCCTTCATTGTGGAAAGCACCTCATTTTGGCAGAGATTAGCTACCCCATACAGGGGTACACTTATACATCAAATAACAAGAATAAGCAAAGCTGCATCCGCTGGTCATAATAAAACTCTAAAACAATTGGAAAATGTGAACATCATGTTTTCCCCCACCTCTTTTGCAAAAAACAAACAAGGCTGTCACTTATTATTTTTGTTCAATCCTGTAAACTTGTCTCCATCCAGCTATTAGTAAAACAATGTTCAAAAGCAAGACCATTATTAGTAGTCAGTTTTAATCTAATGTAATGTGCCTATTTCTGTATTTGTAAAATCAGGGAAATTTCACAAATAGTTGTCAAGTCAAATAATTCCTATCCATTCCCACCCTCAATTTTTCAGCCATGAAAGCATAAACATAATAATAAAAAACATAAATGTCTGAAACTGTTGCCAGGTTGTTCAGTCTGATTTTTGTGACTGTAACTGGTAATCTGAAACACTGCGTAACTCTCTTAAAAGAAAAAGAGGCATCAGAAACCAACACATTTCTACTATAGGCAGTCCTCAATTTACAATATGTAACGATTCAAAGTAACAGTGGCCTCTAAAAAAGTGACTTATGACAACCGTCACACTGCCGCCTCATATCATGTGATTGCAAGTGGTGTGCTTGGCACCTGCTAGCACTTATGACTGGGTGCAGCATTTTGTGGTCATGTGATTGCATTTTTTTTTGGTCTGGAACAGCAATTTTCCAATCAAATCTATTCTTTCCCATATGCTGTTTTTTTCTTTAGTGTGTGTGTGTGTGTGTGTGTGTGTGTGTGTGTGTGTGTACACTCCCTATATTTGATACAGATATACGATCACTTCATCCACTTTTTGGAAGCAATATGAAATTTACTCAAAGAATATTTTTTAAGATGTTACTAATTTTTAAACATTACTTATTCAGAAGAATAAGTAATGTTTAAAAATTAGTGATTCAATGATTTAAGGACCTGTTTTGTGGATCAAAACCAAAGCTTCAAATGTGTTTCCTAGCATGCTTTCCTTGAACTAATGTTCTGTTTTTGCATATTCAGAACATACACACATTCCACAACAGGATGTTTATTGGAGGTAGGAAATATACATTCCATCACAATTCTGTAATCAACTGTCACAGGGAAATTTTACTTGAGTGCAAGTGACATCACACCCCAGCATCAACAGGAAGAGGAGGAAGTGTTTTTGTGTTTATGCAGATCTGGCACAGGGTTCGGGCATAAAAATGAGAGTAAAATATACATATCACTTGGCATTGCAGATTTCTCATAAGCCAGTATGGTATTATTTCTCAAATTCCAGCAAGCACTATTTCCAGCATTGAGTTATTAATGTGGTCCCTGAGTTATTCCATTTGTGGTTCTCCAAACAGCATAAAAACATTTTTTTTCAAATCTGCACAATATGACTTTAAAGAAAAAAATAGTTTTGTGTCATCATGTACTATATTAATGGATTGTTTAGAATATTAATATTCAGAAAAATTAAACTACACAGATAAGAAAAAATACTCCACCATCAAATTCCTATGTAGCTACAGATATAAGAGAACTGAAGAAAAAGAATAATCCAGATAAAATTGTGCATTAAATCAACACTTCCATGTATTTTCTAATATACATGACCATTTTGAGGCATGTAGGATATAAAGTTGGTGACAATCAGGATTATCACCTGCCAGTCAAGGTAGGAAAGAGGATGTTGGATGACATAGATCTTTTGACAACATTTCATGTTCTCTACAGTAGTAGTTTCCCCTTCTGAGAAAAAGACAAAAAATCTTCCATGCAGCAGCTAATTCTATTGAAACTGTACAGGCAAGGAGAAAGACACTGTGACTTCACTTATTGGCCAAATGGATGCAGAATTAAAAACTACAGAATTTTGAAAATGAATGCCAGAGAGTAATAGGATAATTATAGTTATTAATTTTTTTAAAAAAATATTTATTTTTATTCTATTCTAAAGCTTGCACATGCCCAGCACTCTCCATTTTCTTGCACAAGAAAAAGCTGCTGTGGATATTCTTTTGCCATATCTTGAGGTTTTAGGGATCTGGATTGGGAACAACAGGCATCACCCTGAACCATGGTAAGATGGAGTGGATGTGAATGTGTTATGTGGGGAAGGGTTTCTCTGTATCTAATAGTCTTTCCTGGGATTGCACTAACCCAGAGAGATCCTGGTCCGTATTCTGGGGGGTCCTCTTGGATTTATGGCTCCTGCTTGAGGAGTCTGTTATATTGTTCCTGGATTGGGAGGCCCTTCTTTTAGTCACTCAGATCCTGGTCATGTCCAGCTTGGACTATTGTAATGCGTTCTACATGGGGTACCCTTGAATAGCAATAGCATTTAGACTTACATACCGCTCCACAGTGCTTTACAGCATTCTCTGAGTGGTTTATAGAGTCAGTACATTGCTCCCCACAATCTGGGTCTTCATTTTACCGATCTCAGAAGGATGGAAGGCTGAGTCAATCTTGAGCAGATCAGGATCGAACTGCTGGCACTTGGCAGAATTAGGCTGCAAGACAGCATTCTAACACTGCGCCAGCAGGGACAAAATGCAGCCATGAGGACAATTTGCCACCCAGAGTTGTTGGATACAGATGGGCATCAAAAATATTTCATAAAAGTTTGGGTGCCCTAAAGATGGCACATACAACACCTCTGTTGTGTGAGCTGCGTTGGGTGCCGGTTTGCTTTCAGATCCAAGGCTCACATTGTTGGTTACAATCTTTAAAGCCCTATATGACATGCGGCCAGGTTATCTCTGGTTATCCCCCTTACATCATCCCATCCCTCTCAATCAGGCAGAGAAGGTATGTTATAGACCCCATCGGTTAAATAATTTCGACTTGTGGAATCCAGAAAAAGAGCGTTCATTCTTTGCTGTTGCCTCCGCCCTTTGGAATATCCTCTCCCACCCCAGAAGTGAGACAAGCCCCCACTACCCTGGCCTTTTGAAAGAGTTTGAACTCTGCCAATTCACATGGGGCTTGCAAACTTGGGATTGGTTAGCATCTTGAAGATACCGCCCTGCCTTTAAAATTTTGAATTTACTATATACTTGTTTTACCTGCTTCCTTTTATTGAGATGTAGTATTTTTATATACTATATACTACACAGGCATGAAGAGGGGCTCAGTTCACTCAAGGACATGTGAGATCCCGTAATGACACAGTGGGGAGTGCTGGGATTGCGGTTCAGTGAAACAGTTGCTTATTGACTGCTTTACTGAAAAACCAAGACTCTGGTCCCAACCATGGTCATTAAGGGAAGATTGCCTATAGTTCTACTTCACCCCCTATATAATTGTTATTTTATGAATGAAGTCGAATATATGTGTCCCAGGATAATGCTGCAATCTGGGTCGGTCACTGGGACCTAAAGACCAACCCAGTCTGGATCCTATATTTTTATTTTAGCATTAGATCCTCCCATGCTATGTAGCATATCAGGCAGCATTATAATTATTAAAAATGCCTTATAGAGAAACCAGCCATATACAAACCTTTATGTGATGATTTAATATAAATACCACATTCTCTTTACTTTTAGGCAAATCACCATACAGAATTCCTAAGACAGAAGAAAAAGTACTTAGTTATCTTAATTATAAAGAAATTAATTTAAAATCAAAGGTTAACTTTTGCTTCTTCTTTATGTAGCCTGAAACTATATAACCGAATACACTGACAGATATACAGGCTTATGTTATGATTCAACAGTGGAGTTTTAAATGAAATCTAATTATAAAAATTATGTTTTCTTGCAAAAATCATCATGTGTATATTACTACATTAAGCCA